ACTGTTTGTTTTAATTTTTATTTGTAATATGAAGACTAAATCTCGTATTATATTCCCACATATCGTATATCTCAGTCGTATCGTAGGATCAGAACTAGACAGAGCGTCCCCAGTGCTATATTTTATTCATTACATGATCAAATGAAAAGCAATGTGATCGAGTTTCAAAATCTAAAGTTGTACTTAATTGATGGCTTTGAATTATTCAGGCCTTCGTATTCGCTTGATTTATTTTACTAAGGTTTCATTTTATTTGTAACAGAAGTTTGAGATATGTAATTTTAAAATTGCTTTATCTATCATACTGGATGTTTTGACCAATTTAACGTATATCTTCATCGAATTGATGTTGTCACCGAATTTAATAATGAAACAACAAATCATATTAAAAGAAGAAAAAAAAGAACCGTAAAAAATATACGCCACCTTATTTATTGATAGCATATTATGTGCTTATAAATTTTAATAAAGTCTCAGCCCCGGAGTGTAAAAAGGTAGAAACTGGCAAAAAAATGATAGGCATTACTCACAGAGCGTCGTAATACGAACGCTTTCTTTAATATTGGTGCAAGGAGGTCCTTTATATGGAACACTAATTTGAGGATGAATATAATGTTTTATATCCTGATTGAGTTATCTATAGAAATAGATTATTAATAATTTAATTATAGGTTTGACTTAAAAACTATTATTCGTGGAGGTTGGCTTTAATTTTTTTCTTATTGTATTAAAGAACGTTTTTGAGAACAAAAATTGAACTATGAATATTGTTCTAACATTGGTAAAACTAAAAAGTACTCAAGTTTACTTTTAGAAAAATCATTAAAATTTAACAAAGAATTTAAAGAATGTTCAACGTAGGCGGTAGACGGTTTAAACAAAATGAACTAAATCCAAGGACTCGTATAATTCGTCGCTTTTCTAAATTTACAAGTTTCTTACAAAAATACGAGATTCACGTGAATTTAAGAGTTTCTTAGTTTCGCTAACAAGGTGAGGAGAGACTTCGGAGCTGTTATTTTTTCAACGTCGGTCCGTCGAACTTGTGTACATACAAAGTTTTAACAAGCTATATAAAATAATGGGTTAAATTAAACTATAAAAATTATATTAGATACACATTAAACCCTGTACAAATTAATTTTAAATTACTTATAATTTTTAATATAAAACATGATTAGATTTTGCTAAGATACATCTGGTTATCACCTCACCGAACACAAACGAGAGTTCACTCGTTAACCGAATCGTCGATCATAGCTTGTTAAAAGTTGGAATAGAAAAAAGTTATAAGGATCGTACGGGAATCATCAAAAGACATTCGGCGTTATGTCAAAAATAGATTTTAATTCAACTTTATTGCTGCCACTACATATATTGAATTTAGATTTTTTGTTGTCACGAAAATATATCGTTTATTATTTTTGTTTCTTTTGAATGTATATCTTCGTTCTTTTTATTATAGAGATAATGAAGATACATGTATTGGTAGATTAGGTATATTGAAGTACCCGTCTGTACAAGGCATACGTTATACCAGCCATTAGGGCTATTTCGCTAGAGTTGCAGCAAATGACGTGGAAAACTCTGTAAAATGGAAATCAGGACCTGGCTCGCACTGTATCACGGATCATCTCTGTATAAGAATTGTACATTATTGAAAGTAACTCCATACTGTAATAAATATCAGAAACAGCAGTGACAATAGAGTTAAAATGTAACAGAGATCTCTTTTTTAAATATTTTAATATCAAAATATCAATCTGATACACATGTCTTGTAAAGCAAGCAATTAGTCTTATTTAGATATCGTTCCATCACAATAGCATTGTATTATTATTGTATATGTTACATTCAATCAAACCTCATCAGTAGTGGCTGTACTCGTAAGTAATAACCTATTGAGTCTAGTGTAATTATTATATCGCACAAAACTCCGGCGATGACGCTGAAGTTTAAATTAGTTTGTTTTATACAAGTGGAGCCATCGATTCGTAAACTTTCCGAATAGGTTAATTAGGTCCGCGATATTCGGGGCGGCTTTGAAAAATATTTGTGTAATCCTACTAAAATAATATAAGGAACTGATCCCTAATATTTAGCAGTCCAAGTTTTAGAAAGGATTCAAATTAATTTGCCGCTAGAACAGATGGAGCTCGGTGAGGTTGCTGTTTATATAACTTCAACTCTATGTAAGACGGTCTGATCGTTGAAGTCAGTCTCGTTTGTTGTGAGTCTCGACGCAACTTTACACTGGAATGGTGTTCGCAAAATTAAATAAAACTTATGCTTAAACTACTTATACAAGTGAAATGTCCTCGGATTCTCATCATATTAAATTTAATATTCATCCATCTTTTTGTTTTCGCATATCAAAGTTACTTCGCGAGGCAATTTCACGTATATTTTAATAAGATGTCTAGCCTACGCTAACCGGCGAGACTTCATGATATTGCCCGCCTCGTAAAATATTGTGACATGACTTTCGTGTTGTAAAGCGTGTGTGAAATTTATTACAAATACTCAACTTGCAAATTGGTTCAGGGAATGAGGCGACACTAACAATTTCAAGGGGAGGATAATTTTTAATATTTTCATAAAACATCTTTCATATAATGAAGTAGAAATACGATTTACAGAACATTTATTTCAAAATAAATAGAAGAACAAACAACATTTACTGATATAAAAGTTACAAAATAATATTTAAGTTGCAAAATGCGTTCAATGAGCATCTTTTAAAATATTTTTATGAAAAATGTTGAGCGAATGTTCGAAATATGTTTTTAAAACTCAAAAGCGACATTGTTTGCCGTTATTCCCTGGAATACAAAAAAAGTAAATCGGCTATGCACTATCTTTTTTGTCGACATACGCCGTCCTTTTAAAAATGGTGGAAATCTTGCTTGCTTTGAAGAATCGTGCAACTTATTACGAGGACGTTTACGAATGTTCACTTCTGTTTTTGCATAGAATTTTGTCCGTTAAATTTAAAAAATCATGAAAACCAGTTTTGTGTTTTATTGCATCCGTCTAAGGACGAAAGTTGAATGTCTTGATTAATACAGTCATTATGTTTGAACATGGTTTGTTTTGAAGAAAAATTGCGAAAGGTGGCTTTGTAGATACTTGTTTTAATAAATAACATTGTTTATGTGACTCGAATAGTAGAAATAATATCTTTAAATATGGCTTATTTTTAATAAATAACAATCTAAACATATAATATAGAGGTTGGCATATAAAAATTTTCAAAAGAGAAAGTTCCGAAATTCACGAATTTCGTAAAAATCCAAATATATGAAAAACCTTTTATATTTACCGTAAAAAATCTATTTTTTTTCAATATTTCTTTTACCTATATGTGTGAATGAATCATATACATATACAATAATATTTCTTCAAACACGATTATTAATGATAAAATCAGAACTTAATCCGTTTGCTGAGGAAAGAAGTTACTTTTCTCTAAAATGCATTTCAATTTTTGCTTATAAATATATACATACATAAACTAAAAAATATAGTATACCATTTTTACTTTATGACTCTGTAAATGACTTAGGCTTATCAAAGCAATGGTTAATCTTAACAGTAAGCATAAATCAAAATTTAATTTATATCATAAAGCAACACATGTTAACAAATATAAATTAATAATTACTTATACAATAGAAGCAAAAATAATTATATTACAAATCTTTTGTTCTATATAAGCATGCAATTAATTTGACAAATTCTGAATCAAATATTTAAATGATACGATCTCAATATAATATAATGAAAATAATATCACACGTGACGAATAAATATAATAATATTCAATATTATTATACTCATTGAACGGCGACAAATATACAAATTAATATTCAATATACTTATTTCGTTAATTCATTTATATTTAACAAATAAAAATTAATTGAATACATACTGTTCGGGAATATTATTTAAATTTTTATTCATTGTTTAATATTTGGATTATTTACTATTTCGAGCCTTTTGTTTATGTATTTCAAATTAATGAGTAGTTTTCAGTGATTCAATATTTATTTATATATATTTTTCTACTATACCGAAGTGACTTTTAAATTAGACTGCAAACTCGCAAAGAGGCGTCGAGTTTAGATAAAGTGAAACGTCATTATTTCGGTTTCAATGTATAGCTATGGTTCTTATTGTAAGGGAATAGAGTTTAGAATTTAATATGTTTTTTATAGAGACAAAGGTCCGGTGTGTCAGTGGACAAAATCTGTTCTATTGAAAATGAAACCAATTAGTGTACAGTAAGTGATAGCTGTATTGAATGTACTTTTAGAATTAAGAGCATATTATTATACGAGGAATAAAGAATATATATATATATATACAGGGTGACTGGTGAATTACTATCGATACTTGAGGACGTGATATTTGACGATCATATATGACAAAATAAAAATTAATATAACATAAATATTAATAAGCTTCTAAGTAAAGTTAACCAAAAGTTATGTAATTAATTACGCATCGTGTGAACACCCTACAGATTAGGTATACACACACACTCACACATAGGTACGCGAGCGGGGCGTGGTGTTGTATCAGCACGCCGCCGCACGCGTCCACACTTGGAGCACTTGGAACGTGTCCACAATTTATTTATTTATACGGAAATTTGGTCAAAAATTAAGTACCTATTTTTTTTACATAATTCGAATGAGAATCATGTACCGAGTATTCTCCTTAAATATTGATAGTAATTCACCAGTCACCCTGTATATATATATGTATATATATTGAACAATGACAGCTGTATATTATTTTCATAAAAATTAAAATAGAGCATAATTATTTAATAATTCAATAAAATTAATCGCAAAAGATTGAAGATTGAAACTAATTCAATTAGTAAGAAATGTTTGTATAATATTTTAAAGCACTAAGTTGTTCTCGATAGTCTATTTTCCAGTTTTCTTAGTATTCCGATAGATAATGAATAAACAATTTTAATATCAACTCACCTGAACCGTGCTCTTCATTGTTATAAAAACAAACATAAAACTTATTTCTGAACAAATGGGAGAAATCTACAAAATATAAAATAGAAAATTCTACAGACGATATCTGAATTAGTTTAATTTCTCCGAACAATGCCCTGTACTTTTTATCTAGCGGGACATAACGGACTTTTGTATTTAACTTTTCAACTCAAAATCGAATTTTCCTAGAAAAAGCTACCGTTTTGCATTTATTCAGAAAGAAGTTAGCGCAAAACAATGTACTCGTCACTTGGGTTTTGTCAGAATCCTATTAAATTAGAGATGGAACGGAAATTTCGCTTCCACTGCGAACGGATTGTTGTTCCATACGTTCATACAATGATAAATTCTATTTTATTTTCCAACATTTGCTAAACTAAGCGACTTAATAAGTAAACAACGCAAGTCTACCGTCAAAGTCCGTGTGTGCTGGAACATTTAATGCATTTAGCTTCCACGTTGTAAAGTACTAATTTTTTTTATGAAAAACAGAATTTAATGGAACAAAATTATCTAAAGTTAAATAGTGACAAAACAGTAGCAGTCAGACTGCGACCGCAGATATGCAACTGTTCGTAGCACTCGTAGCATGGAGCTACGATGGCTACGAAATTCTCCGTAGACTGCTACGAATGCATTTTTTTTGTTCTAATCGACATTCTTTTATGATTCAAGTAAAAGTTACTTAATGTTTTATATTTAATATTTTTAATTTGCCTTTGATAGAGTTAGTCAATATAAAAGTTCTCTTCATTACAGGTTGAATTTATCTCATAAAATATTTTAATGTATGAGCGAGTTATTCAAGCTATTTTGAAAGCACGAAAAGTACGAAGCTGGCATTTAATTACGAAATCCTATTTAATATATTATAGAATAATATTTATTATATACATATATGAAAAATAAAAAAAATATAATTTTAACTTAAATTATTTGCAATATTTTTAACATATTTTGATAAATATATACATATAAAATGTATGACTAAATATTAAATTGTCATAGTTTTTTTGTGTATAATATTGTTATTTAATTTGGTATCACCATCGCAGGACCTTTATAACCGCAAAAACCTCAAGCTATCACCGACGCGACTAAAGTTAATGAAACTACTTAAGGCTTAAATAGATACGTTATAATAATTAAATATACTTAATAATATAAATATTTCATTAAAAAATATATATAGCAAAGAATATTAATTAATGCCAAGATTTGAGCTGGGATGTCTTTGGCCTTATAGAAAAAAAGAAATTTACATACGAGTATTTTAGGTCTACTTAGACCACTTTAAGAGATTAACCAAAATATCAAAAGTCAATTCTTGCATTTCACTTCTAAAGTTTTATCTTTTCAGGACCAGCAATGCCTGTGCAACTTATCTATTTGAAGAATTTCGAAGAGAAATTTAAATAAAAAATTATATGCTTATGCTTAAAATAGGTTTCAGGTTGGACGCTAAACAAATGAAACATTTATAAACGGACAACTCTATTTATTTTAAGCTCTACATAAAATCAAAATACATTTTTATACAATGACCGGTCTGTTTATTATAAGCTCTTTATACAATAATTGTACACTACTGTACATTCTGTTTCCCATTAGATCTGTATATACAGGCATTAGGACAGAGTCGTGACGGCTTCGAGTAATCCTCACACACTGTACGCAGTCACGTAGGCGCAGCTCTGAATACTTTAAGCCTCATTTAGGCCATTTTAAACCTTATTACCACAGCCGTCGGTTTATATCCAACTGGAGGATATTATGGAATTTAATGTAGAATTTTTAATTATTTTTATGAATATTCAATCGTACATTTGAAAGTATTTATGTCTCTGAGTTCAGTCATTGTTCGCTAGTTGTTTGAGTATCGTATCGTGAAGATTGCGATCGTACCCGCAATATTTAGCGTGTCAATAGAGGCATAAAGCGCAAGGTATGGTCAGTAAGTAATAAGGCAGCAAACATATTGTGTGACGGCGGGTGCGGCTAATTGATTGCGACCACGCCTGACCGATAAATACTATGTGAATGAATGCTTTCACTATTCATTAATACTTTTATCTGAGTATGATTGATCACAGTCTTCAAGTTCTTTTGTTTTTGTCAAGACTAAAGAAAATTTGTCTTTTGAAATCCTTTTATTTTCTTTCGTTTAGGTTTTTTATATTAATGTTTAAGCTCGGTTACTTTACTTGATAGTTCGTAATTAGCGTTAGTAATATATTGTGTTGTAAATAAAATATGTACTCATTTTTATAATATAGTAAAGTATACATATGTGTCTAAAGTATCCGTCTGTTCGTCTCGCATACTGTCTGCGGCTTCCAATGAATAAATTTTCCTGATTAAAACATTAATTTAATTACTCCGTTCAACAACCCGAATAAGAATTTGAGTGTTTAATATTTTAGAGTATGTACTTATATTAAAAAATAAGAATTAATAAAATTAAAATGTTTGGAACGGAACATTGTAATGTTCAACATTTTAAAAACTATATAATTGATTACAATCACATAAATTTTATGAAAATAACAACTTATGTTACACCAGAAAGATATATTCCACAAGACAAATTAAAATATACACTTTGTATAATATTAGATGCTTAAATATAATTATTTAACAAATTGCTTTGACTACTTCTAAACTACTGCTAGTAATTATAACTCATTGCTATATTTTCGGATGTATGTTACCCATGTATTAAGTATTTTAATGTTTTATCCCACCGTTTTGATTACTTTTTACTATCCGTGATCACGGGAATATGAACTGTAAATTTCCATAACATATGAATTAATTTATCTATAATAACAAATTGTTTCCTGTGTTTGAAGTAACAGATGTGCTCCAAATCTATTCTCTAGAATCTTAAGAAAATGAAAGTCTTAAACTTTTTGTAGAGACAAAACAAAATAATCATTAGAACACAACATTTTAGTGTAAAATTATTATATTAACAATTTATTCTATTTTCTATTTTATTACTGTTTCATCTCACAAGAGTTGAAACGATTTATAAAACTATGAAAAAAACTATTTTAATTAAAACCTCATATTTTTATCTCCTGATATAATAAAACAATGCGACTAATAAAGTATTATGAAAAAGCAAAGTTTCGGTTTGAAAATATGCAAATAAAATTTACTTAAAGAAAATGACGTGAAGTTCGGCTCACCTTAAGCCAACCCCTTCGTAATTACCGAGTTAAATGCAAATCAGTTAATAAAGAACTCACAAAAATTGTACACGAAATTCTAAATACACAAATTGTTACCTTTCATCAAAGCTAAAGGGAAAGAAATAACAGAAAGTTTGGGAACGGTTTTAAAAGTTGGATGATTAAGATTTTTTACAGGCTCTTTCAAAGAAACGTCCGAAACTCACTCGAGTCCTTCTAATTGCACGAAAATTAGTGGCTCACTTGATCAATTACGATGTTTGTCATAATTAAATCACAATCTACTCCTTGGATAGTTTAAGGATATTTTTTCAAGGATTGATTTCATATTTATTTACTGTAGGTTGAATGAGGCAAGTTTTATAAAAGAAAATGGAGTGAATTGATTGTTGAACGTAAAAGACCATTGTTCTACCACAAATAATTCCCAAGAAAGCAAATTGATTCTGTTTGCATCTATTCAAATTATAATTGAGGCAGATTTGGAGCAGTCGAGATAGTACGAGAGGTCGGCTAGTGCCGTTTGAACGGATTGTGGGTACTTCGCAATATAACTGAGTATTATTCATGCTTTCAACAGGGGCTTTATAAGAATCTGTTTTCTCTCATAGTATTTGGAGATTGTGATTATAAGACAGCGTCGCAAACTTCTATATTTACATTTTGGGTTATAAAATTTAAATAAGATAAATTTATCACAGGTAATATAATATATAACTACTTATTAACAAAAAAGTTTTCTTAAGACTTTTATAAAGTAACTAAACAGGATCAAAACTTTATCAAAATCTGTAATACTTTTTGAAATTAAGAATCATCCTAAGAAAACCAGCAAAATATTCGTGTTTCTTAAAATTGAAAGAACAGCTGTTTATACGGTTTTGGCAACTACTACAACCATCTGCTCTGATGTTCACGAATTTAAAAAATAGATATAATTTATACCATCTCAACACATTTACTTCTTAGTTTTGTAAGTTTGGTAAACATTGGGAAGATAGCAAATTTTTATTTTTATTTTTAAACCAAAATAATCCGTTAATAAAATATTAGTGTTCAAATAATAGGTCATTTAAGGATATAAATGATAAAATTATTCTTTCTAAATATTTTCCTATTTATTCTAAAATAATATCTTCAATCTTCAACTACATATTATTTATACATGTGATTGCAAAAATAATTTAATACAGTTTAGATTGAGCGTAACGCCTCAGCGGCTCTTAGTAGGTAATTGCTTTTCATGAATGAAGTATATATTTTACTTTGTGATTATAAAGTAAGCAAAACAGAACTGGTACATTGAAACGCGGCGTCGCTTTAATTATTTCTCAATTGCTTGTCCAAAACTTAATTTATCGGTGGCAAAACAAGAAACCGATTTCAGACTTTACAGAAGCGGCTCCTAATTGAAAAATCTAAATTCTTCGTTAATTTTGGGCGTGCTTAAGTCAATTTATCTTATTTAATCAAGCGCGAACACTTGAAGAGAAATAGATGGAAAATTTACAAGTATCCTAATAAAAGTTGCTCAGGAGTTGGAGAGCCAAAGTTGGGCAAATATTCGACAAATTCGTATCTATGTACACAGTGAGAGGACCCCGTCAATTTTGTTCCAGTTATTGGTAATTCAATCAACTGAAAATAAATATTTAACTTTTTATTATCAGCGTAATTAAATATAATATATCGTTGGAGTAAGATGATTAAGAAGTGATGTTTTAGATACAAATTACAATACACGGTAGCAATTTTTAGTATGTATGTCATGAAATGATTCTAGAGCTGATATTAAAATATTAT